CCTGGCGCTGCTGGTGGATCGCTGTGGGAGCCAGCCCCGCTCAGCTGTGCCCCTCCGTGCTTCCCCACTAGCTGGGGCCCCAGGGACCAGAGAGCAGGCCCAGGTGGTGGCTGCAGGCCGCCTGCCTCCTCCCTGAGCTTTGCACCCCTGGCTGGGTCCCTGCGGGCGCCTCTCAACACAGCTGCGTTCTCTAGTTCAGCAGACTTTTCCAAGCACAAATGCTTCATGTCAGGAAGGGGAAGGACAAGGACAAACTCAAGCCTCTCCTTGCCTGTCACAAAACCACAGGAAGACTGGGCCGTAGTTACAGCCACGTGTCACGTGGTGTTGGCAGCCAAGTGGGCAGAGTGCTTGGTAGGCACTTGGTGGGTGGGGAGGGGGGCAGATCAGGGTGAGTCCACCCTCTCCCCCAACCCCCATCAGCCAGGGCCTGCTCCATGGGCAGCTCTTAGAGTGGACCTGCTCCACGGCCCCAGGATGTTCTGGGCTCCTGCGGCCTGCTTCCTCATGCTCCCTCTGGATGCCTGCTTTAAATTCAGGGACTCCCTCTGTTTCACCACATACCAATCCAGGCCCCAAACATGGCAACGTCCCTCTTTCTCACAAAATATTACATTCGGTGGTGGGTGCAGGAACTTCCACAGGGGTCCCATCCCAGCAGGCAGGTCTCTCGTGGGCACCTCTCTCACTCTCAGTGTCATTCTCCATTCTCCACCGTATCCACAAGACAACGGCCCCACTCAGGCCGCTTGAGTCTCACATCTTGCCCAGGCACTCACCTGGGCAGTGCACCTTGCCTCGCAGGAGCACCCCAGGCTGCAGCCACACTGTCCCCCCACCCCCCACCATCAGGAGCCTGCCCCTGTGTGGCCCTTGCTGCTCTCCTCCCGCACCTCCTTCTCCAGGGAGCAAGCGTGTCCAGTGGTTTGGTCCCACCCATCCTGGGAGTTACAGGCTTAATCAGAAACAACCTCTCCTGTAACTGACCCTGAAACCAGAGGCAACCAGCAACAACGGAGGGAATCAAAACAATTTGTGCAAAGACCCAATGTCCAGATAATGGCAGGATCACCTTGACCTTACAGCTGTTCAGCCTCTCTTTCCAGGGAGCTGACATTTTTCTGGACTCCCTGCCCCCACCCCCCCGGCTGTCCCCTCCAGGCAGGCAACGGGATATACCAAGTGCTAAGTGCCAATGGGACTGCTCTTGCTCTCAGCCCCTGCTGGGTTCAGCTGGCTCCCGTCTGCACAGCCTGGAGATTCCTGCTACCACAACAAGCCACATGTGGTGCTTCTGACAGCTTCCTGCTGTGTGACATGGAGACCAAGAAAGACTGAAGTTTAAGTACAAGGCAGGGGAGGCTGGGAGAGCAGTCTCTTCCTGGTCTTGTTCTGCCTCTTGGAGGCTGGCAAAATCAGTCCCCTGTGGGTTTCAGGATCATGGCTCCCAGCACTTCGATAGGACCCTTGAGAGAAATGCCACCAGGCAGGACAACCAGCAAAAATAAAGCTCTCCGAGACCAGGATAGTCACTGAGGTCAACCAGCTGTTATAAATACTGGGGCTAAGACTAGCTCTTGGCTGTGATGGTAAATTCCAGATGTTGCCCTCTGCCCAGCCCAGTTAGGGCTGGAAGCCCCAGGCTGGCCTTGGGAAGTACATGGAAACGAGGTCACCCACAGAAGCTCCCCTTGGAAGGGGAGGACATGGATTAGGTAGGATATGGACCCTGAGTGATATTAACTGGGAGGCAGTATTCCAAAGACATCTCCCAAGAACCTCGTCCCTGATGTTCCCATCAGACACTAACCTAGGTGCTGCTGAAAGAACCTACAGAAGAAATTAGGTACAGATCAGCAGACTTTAAAATAGGGAGATTTTCCTGGATGATCTGGTGGGTCCGAGGTACTGCCATGAGCCCTTAGCAGCAGAAGAGGGCAGAAGAGCTGGCTGGTGGGAGAGATGTGATGGGAAAGGCAGGCGGAAAGGGACCAGCAAGGTCTGAGGGGGAAGAGGACTTGACAGACAGCAGCCGACTTTGAGAACAGAGGAGCGGGCCATGAGGTAAGGGATGTGGGTGACCTTTAGAAGTTGAGAATGATCCCTGTCTGACATGCAGCAAAGGAACAGGGATCTCAGTCCTATAGAAGCATTGGACCAAATTCTGCCGACACCTGGATGAGCTTGAAAATGGATCTACCTCCAGAACCTCTTGAAAGGAACATGGCTTTGCCAACACCTTGCCTTCATCCCTGTGTGACTCAAAGCAGAGGACTGGTGGAGCCATGTTGTACGGGGACTTCTGCATTTAATAAACATGTGCTGTTTTAAGTCACTAAGTTCGTGGTAGTTCGTTATGGCAGCAACAGAAAATCAATATGCCAAGCAAAAGCAAAGCACTGCCATTGACATATTCTTACCAAAATGATGAAAATAACCAATATGGACACATAAAATCCAATATATCCTTACCCTATCAGGAAAGTAGGAGGGGATAGCTGAACGTGACAGCTGCTTAACAAGCATCCGTCCTCTCACGGTTTCCCACCTTACACTTCCCGCCACTTTTGGACTGAATAACTATTTTCTGGTGGGGGGTGGGACTGCCCTGAGCTTTGTAGGATCGTTAGCAGCATCCCTGGTCTCTGCCTACCAGAGGTCAATAGCATCCCTCCCCCGCCAACTCATGAACCTGAAAAAGTCTCCAGACATTGGCAAATGTGCCCTGGGGGTCAAGCTGCCCCCTGCTAAGAATCACCACTTTATATAAGCTTTTAAGGGTATGAGGAAAGTTTTTATAGAAAGAAAACATTAATCTCCGAGCTGTTTTTCAACTGATTATGCATGTACTAGATAAGCATTTCTCAAATGAACACAATACTCTATTGATAATCCAAACCATTACCAGCTGTTAGTCCTCAGCAGCTGGTATCAAGAATAGCACACAGTATATAAATACATATGTGTATGTGTACATATATATATATATATATATATATACATGTACATGCTTTGATTTCAATCTGTAAATATTTTACGAAGTAGACACACTTCACTTCCATAATCAAAATAAAACGAACAAGAATTTCACAGCCCTTCATTCATCAGTGTTTACTGAATGTCTCCTCCATGCATGCCTGAGGTTAGGTACCCAGCGGCCCCTCTGTTAAGGAGCAAGGCGTGCAAGGAGAGAAGCAGACAGGTGAAGTGGGGAAAGTCAGTCTGTGTGCCTGGAGCAAGGGGAGGGAGTGATGCAGGGGCAGTGGAAACTGTAAGTACTCTACATCCCAGAGTGGGAAAGCGGCCAAGATTGGCTTCAGAGAGTTGGCTAGCCAGGGCACGTTAGATGCACCAGCAAGAGTGAAGTCATGAGTGAGGTGTGATAGGGACTGACATGTGCTCTGTACCTGAAAGCTTTGGGGTAAGCAGGTGTAGAGAAGATGATGTTGTTACAAGACCACATTGGTTAAACAGGGACCCCAGTCCAAAAGCAGCTAAGAAACTTGATAAAAGTGCTGGGGACCATTTGGCAATGTACTTCAAGCTGGCCCCCTTCTATCCAGCCCCTGCAAGGAGCAAACCCAGCTTAACTCCCACTCCCCCAGGAGTCTCTGCAAGGAACCTGGCCTTGGAAAGGATGTCCTTCATTTCTGCACCTGCTGATGCCCCTCACAAGCTCGATAAGCTGGGCACCTGCTCCTGGAAATCCAGGCTGCTTCCTTGGTGAATCTTAGTTCTGATCTGCTCTCATCCACCCAACTAGCCCTCTGCTTTCACACATTTGTATCTGTGTAGTCCCTGTATGGCCTCTGGGTCCCACCCTGCCCACCTCAGAACACCTCTGCTCTGCTGGCCAAGCTCCTTCGCTTACGTTGTGAACAGAGGGTTGATGGGTGAGACTCAGAGGCCCTTAACCCACCTAGGCTTTAGCAAGGGAAGAGAGTTGGTCTTTAATGGGCTACTTCACATGTGCCCAGTTCTGCGCAAGTATCTTTGCTTCCATTATTTCATTCTACCCCTCCAAGAATTTTGTGCAATGGTTGTTCTACACTTCTCATTAAAGATAAAAAAGATTGAGGCTCAAAATGTTCAGTAACATACAATTTAGTATATTGCCAAGTTGGGATTTGAGCTCAGGTCTGGTTTACTCTAAGACATAAGCTTCGTCTTTCATACCCTTCTTTGATTTGGGTAAGAGTAATTCTCTGCTGGAGCCATACTTTAGGGATCCCTCTGGCCCTTGTCCAGTCATAGCAGGGGGCCATGCTATAGGTCCTCCAACCCCGATCCAGACAACCAGACTGCATATTTCCCTGCTAACTGTCCAACCTGCCCCCTGGCCCAGGCACTCATCTTCTCCAGGTCCACCCTGCTGAGGGGTGCCAGGGCTGCAAGGGTGCTCATCCCAAGGCCTGAATGGTGGCCCGGGGAGGCTGGTGGCAGGGTGAGCAGTCTAGGCACAGCCTGCAGGGGGCCAAACCAAACAAGATCAAGAATTCTAAATCTGAAACTGGTCTTCCAGGTATTATAAAGGTTAGTGTGGAAGTTAGAGGATATTTTATAACAGTGCATTAGCTTGATTTATATCTTTTTTAAAAAGATGTTATTTCTTTATTTGACACACAGAGAGAGAGAGAGAGAGAGAGCAAGCACAAGCAGGGGGAGAGGCAGGCGAAGGGACAAGTAGGTTCCTTGCTGAGCAAGGAGCCTGATATGGGGCTGGATCCCAGGACCCCAGGATCATGACCTGAGCCAAAGTCAGCCACTTAACCAACTGAGCCACCCAGGTGCCCCTTGATTTATATCTTTCAAACATCTCGATGCAAGGTCTGTCAGCTTCCATTTGTCCCCTTGCTCTGGGCCCACCAATTTAGAAGCATGCTTGCTCTTTTTGCTCATATTTTTTTAACTGAAGAAAAGCATCACCTCCCATGTGAATGAGGAAAGCTTGATCTCATGCCTGATAACCTCTAAAGAAGAATCATGGTGCACTACATTACCTTTTCGTGGTCAAGGAGCTCTTGTAAAATAACTTGTCTTTCCCGACACAGTTCCAAGAAGTCATCAGAGTGCAGACTTTCATGTAAGGCAGGGAAGAAGGTCAGCTGGGTGCAGTCCACCGCCACCTCCTCTCTCCCGCTCTCGGCTTCCTTTGGTGTCAGCTCATCTGCAGCAGCATAAAGGGACACACGGTTTTGGCACAAGCCACCTGACCTCATGAGGGGTGGTGCACAGCATGGGCATGAGTCATGGAGAGAAACCGTGAGGTTTCAGGGTGGAGGTGAGTGGTGTAGCTCTCAGCGTGCCCCTCACTGTGTCTGAAGGTGGATATCACCCCCTGACCCCGTGGTACGGTCAACACACTGTTGGGTTGATTCACTCTGGAAGGTGTCCCAGATCTGGCACGCTGCAGCTCCAGAGTGACTGCGGGGCACCACCTCAAAATCCACCCTCATTAATCAGTAGAGAAATTCCATTTAGGGTCACTTAGAATCTGTTTTTTTTTTTTTCTTTTCTCTGAACTTTACCTTATTCTTTTAAAACAGCGTTGTTGTTGTTTTTTCCCCTAACTATGGACACACTATGATCTAAGTGTTAAAAAAAAAAAAAAACTTGGAAAACCATTAAATTGTGAGAATAAACTTAAAATATTTGAGAAGTAAAACAAGTATCACTCAGGCACCCAGAGATAGTGCTAATAACCTCAGCTCTGACAAATTAAGCTCTTTTTCTGGGCTGGATGCTTTTGATGACATTTTTTTCATTTACTTCTATTGGATTGTAGATTCTATTTCAAACTCCCTTCACAATTGAGGAAAAGAGGAAGAGGCTAATTACTTGGTTCAGGGTCACATGGTCACAAAGAGCTAGAGGCTGAATCTGAACTAAGTCTCTTTCTCCTCCCTGTTCACAATTTGGGTTCTTTACTTCTAATATCTTTTCTGGATGTATATGTATATATGTGTGGACATACACATAAACACACATATGTGATTTTTTAACGTGATAGGAATTATGCTGCATCTACAGTTTTTCTTTTCTAGAATTTTTTAAATATTTATTTATTTTGAGATAGTGTGATAGTGAGATAGTGAAAAAGAGAGAAAGGAGAAGGGAGGGGGCAGAGGGAGAGGGAGAAGCAGACTCCCCACTGAGCAGACAGCTCGATGTGGGACTTGATCCCAGGACCCTGGGATTATGACCTGAGCTGAAGGCAGACTGAGCCACCCATGCACCCCATCTTCTCTAGAATTTTTTTGAGATTATATTATGAGCACTTTCTCATTTCTTTTTTTTTTCATTTACTTAAAAGATGTAATTATTTTAAAACTTGGAACACAGAAAAACAAAACTGCTAGCCACAACTAATAACAGAATTTAAATGTTTAGATTTATTGGGTAAATTTTGCTAATTCACTCTCAGAAGAATGAGTTTTCGTCAAATCTGACTAAGGTAGCTCCTTCTTTATCATCGTACTAGAAGTACATAGGCCATTCTAATTTCCTTATAATCTTATATAAGGAGGAACAAAATAGTTCCCGATTAAATAATATTCACATAAGAAACACACTTGGAGTTTCCAATTTCAAAACACCCTTTTAAAATGCATCTCCTTTTATCACTTTCTCTAAGTCCTTGCAATTCTTTTGCTGACTTCCATAAACATGAAAAGGAGATTTATTCACGAATATTACAAATATTTGGTAAGCTTTCTTGCTTTACCTACAGGGTTATTTAATTTATTTTTAGTGGTCCCTAAGTTAATTATGATCTATATTAATATAATCAAAGGTTGTACATCATAGATTGTACCAAGAACTTTGCATGATTTCTATACTATTACACATTTTAGAGTACATTTATTTATTTATCTTATTATTATTTTTTTTAATCTCTAAAGGCAAAGGAAACAAAGTGAAAACAAACTTTTGGGACTTCATCAAAATCAAAAGCTTCTGCACAGCAAAGGAAACAGTCAAGAAAACAAAGAGGCAACCCACGGAATGGGACAAGATATTTGCAAATGACAGTACAGACAAAAGGTTGATATCCAGGATCTATAAAGAACTCCTCAAACTCAACACACACAAAACAGATAATCATATCAAAAAATGGGCAGAAGATATGAACAGACACTTCTCCAATGAAGACATACAAATGGCTATCAGACACATGAAAAAATGTTCATCCTCACTAGCCATCAGGGAGATTCAAATTAAAACCACATTGAGATACCACCTTACACCAGTTAGAATGGCCAAAATTAGCAAGACAGGAAACAACATGTGTTGGAGGGGATGTGGAGAAAGGGGAACCCTCTTCCACTGTTGGTGGGAATGCAAGTTGGTGCAGCCACTTTGGAGAACAGTGTGGAGATTCCTCAAGAAATTAAAAATAGAGCTTCCTTATGACCCTGCAATTGCACTACGGGTATTTACCCCAAAGCACTTTCTCATTTCATTAAAAGTTCTTTGAACTCACCTAAAATGGCTGCATAATATTCTGTTGTGTGGCTCTTTCATAATCACCTAATCCATATCCAATTTTTTGGAGGCACAGATAGTTTCTATTTCTAACATAAATGCACTGTGCTGCAATCATGCGTGTGCATGCCTAGATTTATTTCCCAAGCATGCATTTCTGGACATAGACATTTGGGTACCAGGTGAGCACAGAGCTGCATGATTTCTGGATCATGCTCTCCCCCTCCCCTGTCCTAGATGTCCACTTGCCTAAAGCAGGCAGGTGCATGGCACATAACTGCAAAGCTGAGAGGCCATTTTCTCTGTGCTAAGTTGCTGACCTCTTTGAGCTCCTCCCCACCTGGAAGTCTCCCAGCTGGATGAATGAAAGTGTCTGCTGCTTACAGCAACAGCCACCACAGGCTTTTTCCCATGCATGAGAACACGGAGATACAGGCTCCCAAGAAAGCACAGGGGAGAACCGTAACATAAGCCATTTCTTCTTCTTCCCTGGCTGAACTCCCTACTCGGGGCAGGGGTCTTTGTATGGGGATGAGAGGACTCAGCAGCCCACAACCGTAGTCTACATCAGTGCATGCTTTCTACCAATACAGTCTCTGCAGATTCCCCCTCTGATCTTGGAGTTGTGCGGCTTAGGGTAAAGAGAAGAGAAGCAAATGGCATTATGACATTATCCCAAGTCCTGCGCCACCGTGGGACCCCCAAATCAACATGGGATCAAGCAGAGAAAGTCAAGTATCATATGGTTTCACTTATTCGTGGAGCATAAGGAATAGCATGGAGGACATTAGGAGAAGGAAGGGAAAAATGAAGGAAGGGAAATCACAGGGGGAGATGAACCTTGAGAGATTATGGACCCTGGGAAAGTTTAGAGGGGAGGGGGTTGGGAGTATGCGTGAGCCCAGTGATGGGTATCAAGGAGGGCATGGATTGCCTGGAACACTGGGTGTTATACGCAAACAGTGAATCAGGGAACAGTACATCGAAAACAAATGATGTACTGCATAGTGACTAACATAACATAATAATAATAAAAAAACAAACATGGGATCAGGGCCCAGCACCCTCACTTCTGGGCACTGTTACTGCAGACTGGCAAGACAGAAGGCTCAATACAGAATCCAGTACTTAGGCACTAAACGAGACAAGTTTGATCAGAGCTCGGAAGTTGTCGTTTGGTTAAAGATACGGCACTAGCTGCACCTCAGGAGACAACGAAACTCACAGACAGGCAGTGTTTGAAGCAAAAGGCAGGGTCTGGTAGAAACACGAAATCTGGACTAGAGTGCATACATCTGTGTGTGTCTGCCTGTTGTATTTGTGTGTGTGCGTGTGTGTTTGGATGTGTTCGTGCCAAATGACCTCTGAAAATAAACCGTGGATTTCCAGCAAGTCAACTCAACCAAATTCCTCCATGAAAATTACACAAATAAAGGGTAAGTGTAAACATCAAAAATGATTCAAAGTCTTTTTTTTTAGACTGGGAAATAATGACTATTGTAGCTGTCATTTTTATAAACAGAATTCAGTGTACAAAGTACTAAATATCTCTTCTACCCATTTTTACTTTAAAACTTTTTTTTATTTTCTTTCTATGTACTTTGGGTCCCATACTGAGCATGTATTTGTATTACTTGGGGACACTTTTAAGGTCTCTCTGATACAGTAAATGGACAAGATAAAATTCTTACTGTTGCACACTTAACATAAAAATTTTCACCTAACAGGAAGTCAAGATCTGGAATAGGTTCCTCCTCACTCTGGAGAGCACAGTAAGGAAAAGAGTGTAAGCACCATCAACTTTAGACTGGCAGCATTTCCTTTTCCAAAATATTAATTTCATATTAAATAAAACCAAAATGTGATTTAATTACAAATGAAAAACAGGTAAACTGATAAATGGAATACCTTGCTTTTCAACATTTGTTTCAGAAACACTGCCATTTCTGTCTTGGTTTTCCTGAAATAAAACCAGGGAAAAGACAAATGAAATCCTGAAGACTACTGCCCGCCACCCTATCACACGGACCCACAAACACACACACGTACACGTGACCCCCTGGAATTACTCATTTACTGGAGTCTTAGAAGCAAGAAGGGAGGGATCCTAAATCCTAAAGGACCACAATAAAACGCAAGTATGGATGGTTCCGAGTCAAAGGGGCAAAAACCCACAATCTTCCATTAAGTAGGACTTACAGTAATTACCAAAGATGATGCCAAAATGGGATTCAATAGCATCCCGGATGTCTGTGGTATGGGCCACCCTGGAGAGGGGACTAGGCACAGGACCAGGGGCTGGGCAGCCTGAGAAACCAGAGACCAGGTTTTCTAGCCAGGCTTTGACTTTGTCACTAGCACAGAGGGCAGGCTACTTATTTTTCCTGCCTCTACTTCCTAAGGAATGCATTGAGAGAAAAAATACTACATAAACCAGAGGTTTATTGACAGTACATTAAAAATTCAAGTGTCTACTGAATAAATGAATATAATTTTTTTCATTACATTTTATAAAGGATTTAAAGTGTAAAAGATTCTGAGGTTACAGAGCAGAGAATAAGCTCAACATTGTATCTCAGGATGGATATGGAAGGAAACGTCTTGCATTCCAGTGTTTGGAAGGCTGCCCTCTATAATATCTTGAACCAGAATTGTCCAAAGAGGACATGAAAGAACTATTAACAGATTTTTCCATCTCAGCTCCTAATCCAACTGGTTCCACATTCTTGAAAATGCAACACTGTCAGTTTGACAACACAGAGTTCAAACTTCATCGCAGCAAACTCCCAGGGCCCACCTAGATTCCGTTGGTTGGGAATCCGATATGGCCTCAACATTGTTTGGGTTACATGGGTCATGGGCTCAAGCTTGCAGAAACAGCTGAGTTCAAGATTATTTCCATTGTAAAACTTGTTAAAGAGACTTGATTGTGCAATAATGCCCATAACAGCACTAGTTATGACTGTTCCGTAGCAAATAATTGGTACAAACAGACAATGGCCATCACTTGGCTCTTTGCAAACAATAATGTCCAGATGATTGCTTTGGATGCAATATTTGTGGATGTCAGTGTGGTTACTAGGTTAGTGGTGTCGGTATGAACTACTCCAGCATTCATTCACTGGCTCATTTACTTATTTACTCAGGCCGTAGTTAGAGCATCCTTTCTATGCACCAGGGAGAAAGAGTTTCTTTTCTTCTGTTAAATGGCATCAAGAATAAATTACAGCACTCCTACATTTCCTGTGCACATGATCTCTCCTGCCTACCCATGCTAAAGCATTCCCAAAGCACCCCTGATGAAAAGAGCATGAGAAAGAAAAGCAAAGGAGACACTTCTCTACATCTTTCCTGCCTGAAAGCATCATTGTTTTGCTGTGTCCAACACTTACCTTGAGCCTTTCTGGACTCAGGGTCTCCAGCGGAGACAAGCGTCTGATGCGTTTCCTCATGCGAGCCGGCCCTTCTCTCCAGTCCAGTTCCCATCTGGAGCAAAGTGTGGCTTCTTTTGTTTGACCCCACAAGCCCAGCTCCCCAAAAAGCTGCTCCTGAATCCTGGCCCAGGTGTTGGCTGCCTTGATGTTGTCACATCTCTGCCTCTGGGAAGCAGAAATGCAGGGTCATTCCTGGACAAATTTTCTCATGGGCTTGGCCCCAAACTTCTGGGGGTGAACAGATCAAGGCCTCTGAATTGTTCAGAAAAAAACAAAAAACAAAAAACCACCCTTCTAGGAAGCTCTGCACACCTTCAGGGTGTGTAATGTACTCCAGAGCTAGGACCAGTCTGGGAGAAGAGATCAGTTTCTCAGCTTGGAAACCATTTAATCCAGGTTGGAGGAGGAGGAGAAAACCATCTGCCCTTTGGCCTTCACAGGAACATGACTGCTGGGGGCTGTGCAGGACACAACTGGTCCCAAAGGTCCTGACACTATTCATCAGAGTACGCTGGACAGCTATCTTATAAGTGGAATGCAGAATCTCATCACAGTCCCTACTCTTCAAAATGGACAGGGTGTTTTACCACAGACCTTGCCCTTCAAACATGATGCTGAGGATACTCCTGTCAGTGTCTGGACTGGACGTGTGGGGGATCAGCACATCTGCCAACAACTGGAAGATCTGAACAAGACACTCCTGTCTCTGGACCTCTAGATTCTCCAACGGATAAATGAGAGGCTTGGCCTGGATATTGTCTAAGGGTCTACCACAGGGTTCTAGAATATTGCCTTCTAGAACGTTCATAGAAGCTAAAACCTTTGATATTACTGAAAGTTATCCCTTACCTATGAAATCTTCATTGTTTGCATACTTGAAATCTGGCTGTCACACCTTCTGCTACAGTATAACTCAAACCTTCTATAAAGTACATCCCTGAACTGCCTTTGTATGCCACACTGAAGTTGTCATCATCACCTGCCAAGGGAACTTTGATACCTGTCAGTTTCAACAGTAGAATCAGCTTTGTCTGCAGGGTGAACTTTAGCAATTATTCAAATACTTGATGGTATTTGCCCTAAATTTTGATTTGAAGTTTTCAGAAAACTGGAAGGTGAAAGTGTTAATGACAAGAAGCACAGATCTCACAAACTTAACATAAAGAGAAAAAAAAATCATTATCGTGCATTAGGGCTGAGCCCCTTACCTGCTCTATCTCATTTCCTTTACCCAGTAGCACCATAAGTAAAACTTGAAACTTTCAAAGAATTTCTATTATATTCATAAATATTTATATTCATAAATAAATCAAGTCTGGGAGAGGAGTAATGATTTCTCCAAAGACCACCAGGTGATGGAGCGGAGATGCAAACCCAGTCCTTCTGATTCTAAAGCCTCCGCTTAAGCCTGCCCACTAGTGCCTTTCCTGAGGGTCTGACATCCTTTTATTAACTCATGATTTCTGATGCTATTACTTCAAAGACTGACATGGCAGACTTAGAGGTAGGCCCTGTAAATCCAGGCCATATGGAACAGGTAAATCATTCTTGGAACTAGAAAATTCCCATGAAAATGTAACAGGGCATCTGGGTGGCTCAGTCAGTCAAGCAGCTGCCTGCGATCAGCTCATTGTGATCTTGGGGTCCTGGGATCAAGCCCCACATTAGGCTCCCTGCTCATCAGGGAGTCTGCTTCTCCCTTTCCCTCTGGTCCTCCCTCTGCGCACGCTCTCTCTCTCTCTCTTTCTCTCTCTCTCTTAAATAAATAAATAAAGTCTTAAAAAAATATATAACAGACAACACAGTGCTTAGTGTATGGTCTTTGGCATCAGATGAACCCGAGTTGTCATGATGTTTCTGCTACTTCCTAGTAGTCTAGTGTAAAGGGACTTCAGCTTCCTCATCAAATGTGGTTAATAATATTACAATAATAATAAAACCATGGGTTTATGTAAGGATTAAATGAGACAATATTTTCAAGAGTTTTATGTGGTGACTTGCTTGGCATAAACAGTATTATTACTGTGAATAAAGCAAATCCTATTTCAAAGCAAGATTATTTTGTTTCTCCACAGTTCTTAAATTCATATCCAAAAGAATTACAGCATTTTATATAATACTCCAATTGGTTAATAAGGAACTCCAGAAAAATAATGCCTGTGCAAAGCCTTTTACAGGGATTAGATTATATGAAATGAATACCCATTTAGGGAAAATATCTAAGTTCCCTGGAGATTGCTGATGGGTTTGGAATAACATATAGAGCTTCATAGAGGATGAACAATCCCAAATTATGGGTTGTCTACCCTGGCTTTAGAATTAGTCTTTTAAGAGTAGTCTCTTGGGGTACCTGGGTGGCTCATTTGGTTGGGTGACTGCCTTCGGCTCAGCTCATGGTCCTGGAGTCCCAGGATCAAGTCCCGCATTGGGCTCCCTGCTTGACAGGGAGTCTGCTTCTCCCACTGACCTTTCTCCACTTATGTTCTCTCTTTCTCTCATTCTCTCTCTCTCAAATAAATAAATAAAATCTGAAAAAAAAAGAGTAGTGTCTTCACCCCCAAATATCTACCTATGCAGCCTGGGGGCTCACGGCTGCCCAAGTCTTCATCACAGAGCAAATAAGTTGTCTGGAATACCTGTGGCCAGACAGACATGTGTCAGTGGTGAGACCCCTCAGAGATGAGTGATTATTTAGTCCATGATAGAAAGCTACAAGTGGTCCCAGGACAGAGGACATGAGATGACTGAAGAGCAAGAGCCCTGAGGTCCCTCACCTGTAAGGTGCTCTGTGATGCCCATGTTTCTGCACCAGGTAAGGTGCATTTTTTAGTATGACATAATAGTTCATTTGCTGCCTAAGCCACATGGAGCTGAGTTTCTGATATTTGCATTTGAAAGAGCTTTGACTTTGTTTTTATGAACATTGTTGTGTACTTGCCCTTCGGATGACTACATTTGTATCTTTGGGGTAAATACCTAGTAGTGCAATTTCTGGGTCATAATGTAGCTCTATTTTTTAACTTCTTGAGGAACTTCCATACTGTTTTCCAAAGTGGTTGCACCAGCTTGCATTCCCACCAACAGTGTAGGAGGGTTTCTCCTTCTCCACATCCTCCCTAACATCTGTCATTTCCTGACTTGTTAATTTTAGCCATTCTGACTGGTGTGAGGGGTATTTCATTGGTTTTAATTTATATTTCCCTGGTGCCAAGTGATGTTGAGCATTTTTTCAGTAGCCAAACTATGGAAAGAGCAGAGATATCCATCGACAGATGAATGGATAAAGAAGATGTGGTATTATCATATGGTTTCACTTACTTGTGGAGCATAAGGAATAACATGAAGGACATTGGGAGATGGAGAGGAGAAGTGAGTTGGGGAAAATCAGAGGGGGAGGGTGAGCCCAGTGGTGGGTAATAAGGAGGGCACGTATTGTGTGGAGCATTGGGTGTGGTGCATAAACAATGAATTATGGATCACTGAAAAAAAATTAAATTTTAAAAATACCACTATTTTTGTTCTTAAAAAAAAAAGAAGTGGTATGTATGTATGTGTATGTGTGTGTATATGTGTCTACAATGGAATATTACTCATCCATCAAAAAGGATGAGATCTTACCATTCACATCAGTGTGGATGGAACTGGAGGGTATCTTGCTATATGAAATAAGTCAATCAGAGAAAGACAATTATCATAGAGTTCCACTCATATGTGGAATGTAAGAAACAGTGCAGAGGATCATAAGAGAAGGAAAGAAAAACTGAATGGGAAGAAATCAGAGAGGGAGACAAACCATAAGAGACTCTTGACTCTGGAAAACAAATAGAGGGGAGGTCAGTGGGGAGAATGGGGTAACTGGGAGATGGCCATTAAGGAGGGCACGTGATATGATGACACTGGGTGTTACATGCAACTGATGAATTACTGAACTCCACATCTGAATCTAATGATGTACTATATGTCGGTTAATTGAATTTAAATTTGAAAAAGAGAGCTGTGACAAACACTTGATGAATATACAGAAACTGAGCAAGAAATGGCAATAGCTTGTTTGGACCCTAGGGAACCCAAGAACAGTGCTTCTCATACACTTAAAAAAAAAAAAAGTCTACTTTTGGTATGACAGGCACCTTGCAAAGAACTTTAACCAGAAAAGCCTGGAATGTTTAACATCACAAGAATAATGAGGCATTTCTGCACATTATGGTAAGGACTCCCCACAAGAAGAGGACAATCTGGGCATCCAACAGAGCAGAACCAAAGCAGCTGGACCATCAGGAAGAGTACAAATATAATGTGGAAAAGGCAAAGGGGAACTTGGGCAGGGCCAGAGGACAGGAAATGGTTTTTGCCAGTACTTCCAGAATGACAGGAAACTGGAGAGACTGAATACTAGAATTGCCAGATTTACTGGTGATATAATGATGCTTAGTTTAACTTCCAGGGCATTGGGTAATATGACCTTGTCATGCTGTAGGCTCCTGCCATCTCCAGAGACCTCTCAGTTGTGGGTAAAATACCAAGTTAGAGAAGTCTTATACCACCTATTCTTGAAAGTCCTATGGGGCCAGAATCCCTGAATCTCACTAGTACCACCCTCCTGGGGAGATCTCATTGAGTACACTTGGGAGAAGCTGTCCTTGAAGAACATGGCAGGTTTCACAAGTCTGATCTCTTTATAGAATCCGGACATGGTTTTTCTGGAAGTGGAGAGGGATCTGCACTGGGGGTGCACCCTTAAAAAAGTAGGGTGGACACTCCAGATCCCATTATCTCTGGCAGACGGTGATTACCTCTGCTTTCCTTTAAATGTTCAAACAATCTGTCTTAAATATTTAAACACTTAGAAAGTATCCTTATGGATTAGCCTCAAAATGCTGATTTTCTCAAAAATACCTCAAGCAGTAGAACTCTATACAGCTTTCTCAATTATTCTCTGAACCCCATTTCAGCCTGTTGCTGAAAATGAGCCAGGCTAACGCGCTAGAAGGCTGGATACTTTCCTTCTGGACTCGGAGCCTCTGTTGAGGTTCTGTCCTTTCCCCTATGAACTTTCAATCTCACAAATTGCAGCAGAAACTTACAAAGTGCCACACAGCACATCTCTCCTAGCCATAAGCAAATCACCCCAGGTCTTCCAACTGTGAGCAGAGAGATCTCACACTCTTGACTGGATGCTGATCTGGACATTTAGACAAACAAATCCTTCATCTTGAAATAGAACAAGTATGATAAGGATGTTCATAAATAAAGAATGCAGTCTTAAACAATTCATCTTATTTTCCCCCTGGTAACAATTGAATTTATTGGCCATATTGCTAGTCCTGAGAGAAGTCAGTAAATACAAATGGTGGGACACTGATGGGCAGGGGTCTGTCTGAGGGGCACAGGTAACATGCAAATAAGCCAGCAAGGCACCCATCCTGCTGTGCAATGCAGTCAGCAACGCTGGGGTGGGGGAGCTGCCCCTGATAAGGCTCTTCTCCAAATAGAGAGTCTGTTTAGGACCAGTGCTGCTAGAGAAATCAGAATGCTTCCTGATCCCTTTGACAGCAGCATGTCCTGTAGACCCCCAGATTTCTCCTCCACCCTTGTGAAGTCTGATGAACTGCCCCCCTTACAGAACAGCCAGGAAGGCTGTGTTGTTAATCTGCATGTTTCTGAGGTACAGGATGCACAGCTCATGAATCCATAGTCCCAGGACCATGTGTGGGCTCCTAAATGAGCTCATATGGAAATAATTAGACCAAATTACTTGCCTTAAGTTGATCAGAGCCTATTTTGTTTCCCTGACATTTGGGCACCATTGTTCTACCCTTCCTTGACTCCTCACCTCACCCCAGGCACAACCCATGGTCCCTTACACCCTACTTCTCTTTATAGTAGAACATCCTAGGATTGGCCTCATCACCCTGTTTGTGGTTATTTATTTACTCTTGGTGCTCTACTGATTTTTAAGAACCCTCCAGGCACAGCACTAGTGTTATAATCTCTGTCTTTCATATACCTAACATAGGCTTTGGAACAGAGAAATCATAAAGAAAATAATATATTTAGTAAGGTTTTAATACTATATGTTGTGCTCTATTATTGACAACCATTTTTTTCCTTTTTTTAAATTAACATATAATGTATTATTTGCCCCAGGGGTACAGGTCTACAAATCATCAGGCTTACACACTTCACAGCACTCACCATAGCACATACCCTCCCCAATGTCCATAACCCAACCACCCTCTCCCTACCCCTCTCCTCCTGGCAATCCTCAGTTTCTTTCCTGAGATTAAGAGTCTCTTATAGTTTGTCTCCCTCCCGATCCCATCTTGTTTCATTTTTTTCCTTCCCTCCCCCTCAAGCCTTCCGCTCTGCCTCTCAGATTCCTCATACCAGGAAGATCATATAATAATTGTCTTTCTCTGATTGACTTATTTTGCTTAGCATAATACTTTCTAGTTCCATCCATGTCGTTGCAAATGGCAACATATCATTTCTTTTGGTGGCTGCATAGTATTCTATAGTATATATATATACAACATCTTTATCCATTCATCTGTTGATGGACATCTAGGTTCTTTCCATAGCTCGGCTATTGTGGACATTGCTGCTATAAATATTAGGGTGCATGTGCCCCTTCGGATCACTACATTTGTACCTTTAGGGTACATATCCAGTAGTGTGATTGCTGGGTCATAGGGTAGCTCTATTTTCAACTTTCTGAGGAACCACCATGCTGTTTTCCAGAGTGGTTACACCAGCTTGCATTCCCACCAACAGTGTAGGAGGGTTCTCCTTTCTCCACATCCTCGCCAGTGTCTCTCATTTCTTGACTTGTTAATTTTACCCATTCTGACTGGTGTGAGGTAGTATCTCATTGTGGTTTTGATTTGTATTTTCCTGATATTGGCAACCATTTTTAACCACATTTTGTGAACAACACTGACTAAAGATAAACTTCTTGGCCCATTCCATAACCACACATGGGCCATGTATTCCCTGCCAGCCACTTCTAGACCCTCTACACTTGTTCTTTAATGTTCACAGTTAGGCAGTATGATCCCATCTTCAAGATGGGGACCCCGAGGCTCAGATTCCACACCCGGGAAGAGGCAGACCTGAGACCCAACCAGAGATCTCACTGGCATGAAAGACAATACCCTTTACTCTCACTGTCCAGAAATCACACCTAGAGAATTGTTTTAATTATCTAAATCTGCTCTGATGAGTGGCAACCCCTTGCATTTCAGATAAAACGCAAAAGCCCTAAGGTGGCAGTAGGCTCTGTGTGCTCTGGTCCTGCCTCATCATCACCCTTGTCCGTTCCCAGCTCAGGTCACCCAGTCATTTCTTCCAGTTAATTGGTCACATCCAGCTCTTTCCTGACCAGGGTCTCCCCACATGTCCTCCCTTAGGCAGAAACACAACCTCAAAATACTTCTGCGCACCTTTCTCCTTCAGATCTCAATATAATGGTCACTTTCTTGGAGGGGGACTCTGATCTGCCCAAGGTAAATTCTCCCCACATCATAATCTCTCATTGTACCTATATTTTCCATGTCTCTTGCTTGTCATAAGTAATAATGATCTACTTATTTGTGCTGTTATTTAATACGCAGAGGTAGAGTGAAGCTACCAGAGAGTCAGGCCCATGTCTGCTCTGTGTACAATTGTGCCCCGAGCTCACAGCACAGTGTCTGAGGCACCCTGGGCTCTTGACATCTGTTTACTAGTGGATGAATGAGTAGATGAGAGGATAAACATGCTACCTCTCTCCTCAGTTGCTGACAGCACACGTGTTGCTCACCTATGGTTGACTTAGCCAACTAGAATTTAAACCAAAGGCCCTTCTGATTCTTCATTTCAGAACCAAGGGAGCATCCAGTCTTCTGTGCAGGGAAAAGAGCTTGTTTATTACCTGTATATGATCTTTGTATAAAGATGCATACAGTTCCTGTCCTCTTCTTCTGTAGTTCTCGATACATGACACAAAGTCCTGGGAAAGAGAGGAAACAAGTGACAGCTTAATGACAGTTGTGATTTGAGATGAGAACTTGTCTCCTCTGACCAAGTATCAGGGGAAATAACAGTTACAAGTTTTGTTGGTCAAATCAATCATGACCTCATAAATAAAGACTTCATATATGTTGATACCACACACACACACAAACACTCACATGCATGTCTATGGCATAATTCCACTTCTAGCTATCTCACACCATATGTGAAATCCCATTATAATATGTGCAAAGACATAAATAGACATTTCACTACAGAATATACAGATGGCAACTAGACATATGAAAATATGTCCTACATCATTTCCACTAGGAAAATAAAAATTAAAACTACAGTGGGGGGGTGCGAGAACGGGCTAACAGGGTGATGGGCATTAAAAAGGGCAAGCGATGTATTGATTGCTGAGTTTTACATAAAGCTTATGAATCACTGCACTCTACCTCCAAAACTAATAATATACTGCATGTTAATCAATTGAATTTAAATTAAAAACAAAAACAAAAACAAAAACAAACAAAAAAACCCTACAGTGAGATATTAATACACACCTATCCAAACTGCTAAAATTAAAAGGTAATAACACCAAATGCTGGTGAAGGTACAGAGAAGTTAGAACCTCATGTACTGCTGATAAGAAGGGATGGTACAGCCACTCTGGAAAACAGGTCAGTAGTGTTTTTAAAAATCTATATAACTAACATTGGGGAGGGTATGTGCTATGGTGAGTGCTGTGAAGTGTGTAAACCCGGCAATTCACAGACCTGTACCCCTGGGGATAAAAATACATTATATGTTTATTTAAAATAAATAAATAAATGAATGAATGAATAAATAATTTTTTTAAAAAACTTTAAAAAATAATAAATTAAATAAATAAATTAATTAAATTAAATTAAATTTAAAAAATCTATATAACTACCATATGACCCAGCAGTTTGACCCCTAGGGATGTATCTCAGTGAAATGAAAACTTAGACTCGCACAAAAACTAAAAACCTATACATACATGTTTATAGCAGTTTTATTCATTAACAGAAAAAAACTACCCAGATGTCCTTCAACAGGCAAATGGTTAAACATATTGTAATGCATCCATACCATGGACCACTTATAAATAAAAAGGATAAACTGTTGGTTGTTGATACATGCAACAACAACCTGGATGAATTTGCAAAGAATTATGCTGAATGTGAAAAGATAAACCCGAAAGGTCACATGCTGTATGGGTCCATTTAAACAGTATTTTGAAATGGCACAATTATAGAAATGGAAAACATACAGGTGGTTATGAGAGTTTATGGGAATAAGGGGAAAGGCAGTGGGAATGGCCATCACAGGGCACCATGAGGGATTCTTAGTGGTGATTGAGATGTTTTTGGTTATGATATTTACTGCAATTTTACAAGATGGCACCACTGGGGAGCTGGGTAAATGATACATGGTCTCTCTCTCTCTCTCTCTCTTGCTCTCTTTCCTTCTTCCTCTTCTTTCTTCCTCTCTTTCTGTTTCTCTCTTTCTTTTTTCCTTCCTTCCTTCCTTTTTGAGAGAGAGAGAGAGAGAGAGAGAGCATGCACAAGCCAGGTAGGGGCAGAGGGAGAGGGAGAGAGAGAGAGACTCTTAAGCAGACTCCAAGTTCAGTGTGAATCCTGACACTGGGCTTGACCTCACAATCCTGAGATCATAACCTAAGCCAAAATCAAGAGTCAGATGCCTAACCAACTGAGCCACCCAGGCACCCCTACATTATCTCTTATAACTGCATATAAATCTACAATTCTTAAGATAAAACGTTTAGTTTAAAAAAAGTCACTGAGGGCTTTGTCTTTACCATTCTAAAAAAATACTCATGTCTAGAATATATTTTAAAACTATTAATCAATGAGGAAAGAAAACCAGAAAAAAACTCAATAGAAACTTTTAAAAAGAAAAAATTGAACAGGCATTTAATTTTAAAAGATGTCCTAGGGATGCAATTGTGGCTCAGTCAGTTAAGCATCTGCCTTTGGCTCAGGTCATGATCCCAGACTCTTGGGATCGAGTTCTGCACTGGGCATCTTCTCAGCAGGAAGTCTGCTTCTCCCTCTGCCTGCTGCTCCCTGTGCTTGGACGATCTCTCTCTCTCTCACACAAATAAATAAAACAAATAAAAATAAATAAAAATAAATAAAAGATGTCCTACTAGCCAATAGACATACAAGAATGTGGTCAACTCATTTGTCATTTGGGGAACATAAATTAAAAACACAATGAGAATATTCAGAAATTCAAATAGGCTAATTATATCATATTTTGATTATGATATGGAGCAAATGAACTCTCTTACACTGCTATATTGGTACAACCATTTTGGAACATTGTTTGGCAGTATCTTAAAAAGTGAATATATTCATACTCAATGACTCAGAGATTTCATTTTTGGATATATAGCTAATAGAAATTCATATATATGCGTTCCTAAAGGCATGTAAAACAATGTTCATAACCGCAGTGTTTGAAATAGGCCCTATTCAGTACTAGTCAGTACTACTCAGTATTTGAGTAGTCTGGGAACAATGCAAATGTCTATCAGTAACAGACTGGGTACATCAAGTTTGATATATTTATATATTGAATATTCTACAGTAATGGTTATTAAAGTGGTCCATAAATCCTGGAGGTTCCTGTAACCCTTTCAGGAGTCTGTGAAGTAAAAGCTACTTTCAAAACATTGGGAAATCTTTGCCTTTTTTTCACTGTGTTCACATTTCTATTGATGGCCCAAAAGCAATGAGGAGTAGAATTAGTGTCATAATCTAAACCAAGGGGTTGGCACCAACTGTACAATCATCATTTTATATATTCCTCACCACTAGGAAATCATATTAGGAAAAAATCCTCACATAAGAATGTCACTGATAAAATAGTAGAAAATATTAATTTTATTAAATCTCAAGTTTTGAATATACTCTTTTTTAATAATCTATGTGATAAAGTGGAAGTATGCATAAAGCACTTCTTCTGAATACCCAAAAACATGATGGTTGTTTCAAGAAAAAGCACTATGCAATTGTTAGAGTTATGAGCTGAACTGGCAGCTTTTGTCATAGAACATCATTTTTATTTGAAAGAATGACTCAAAGACAAAATTATAGTTATTAAGACCTGAGTGTTTGGCAGATATTTTCTTAAAAATAAACAAAATAAACCCATCAACTCAAATAAAGCAATCTGACACGATTTGCTGTGAAAGATAAAATTGAGCTTTCAAATTTAAATATTAGAATGTTGGACAGCGTGTATCTGCCTCTTTGAACTTAACAGTTTCCCAGTAGCTAAAAGTTTTTCTTATAAGACGAATGGTGACATGAACATGATAAAAATCATGTTGTGCAAGGAAGCATGTCAACATTAGGGAGATCTATGTAACTCAGGGAACCAATATTCTGAAAGAATGCTAAGATGCATGTTACAAAATCATGTATGAGTTAAAAATATCCATTCAAAGTGTAAAATATATCAATAGATTTTAATGTAATTGAAGACAAAAATTTCACTGATAAAGGTTTCAACTAAACTTTAAGAAACTACTACTTGTTGAGTTTTGGTGTAGTATCAAAGAATGTCTAGAATTTTCTGAAAAGACTATTAAAAATGCTCCTTTCTTCTCTCCTACATATCTTCAGGGGCTAGATTTTCTTCATATATTTCAACCAAAAAAAAAAAAATAGTACAACTGATTGAGTAAAGAAGCAGATACAGGAAACCAGATATCGTCTTACTATGTCAAATAGATATTAAAGAGACCTGCAAAATTACAAAACAATACTACTCTCTTTTAACAATTTTTTGTTTTGAAAAATAAAGCTATTCATTAAAAGTGTTATGTTTAAATATAATGGGTTTATTACTGTTACATTTAAATGAATTAATAAAGGCATTATTTTTAAATTTTTGTTTTAATTTCTAATGCAGTAAATATCAATAGATACAGTCTACATAATCAAAAGCTTTTTGGAGTCTTCAATCATTTTTAAGGGATAAACAGGTCCTGAGAATTATTGTGTCAACACTATGAAAATGAATGAATTACTACTTCATGCAATGACATGAATAAATTGCACAAATGTAGTTTGGAGTGAGATAAGTCAGAGAAAAGCATATATACTGTGTCATTTCATTTACAAAAAAGTAGTGATGTGAAAAATGAATGTATGGTATTAGAGGTCAGAATAGTTGCTACTTTGGGGGAAGAAGGGACTAGTGACTAGGATGGGACATGGAGCTTGGGAGTGCTTCTGGGTTGCCATTACTGCTGCATTTTCTTATCTGGGTACTGGTCACATGCTTATTCTCAAAATTCTTAAATCTGTTTATTTGTGATTTGAATACTTTTTCTGTTATGTTATATTTTGATAAGATTAAAAAAGTGTTTATAAGCAAAGACTCAAAAATATAAAAACAATACAATTTTAAAACCCCAGTTACAGTTTTGGAGTAGTGGGAATAGGAAGATTTCTTTATTTTCTTTTATTTCCTTTTTTTGCAAAATTTTCTTTAATACTGCTGGTTACACGTGTTTATACACATTTATAAGTAAAGCAATCCTTATGAGCATCGCAAGTGACATAAAATGCTGACAAATTTGACTAATTTTACATCTAAGGCAAAAGCCCAGACTTTTCCCTAATATGATGCCTTAGAGACATGCAGCAGGAGAAGAGAACTTTTGGGGAACACTTGGACACAAAGTAGCTCCCATCAAAATAGCACATGTGCCATCTTGCCAAAAAGGGACGGGTTATATCTTAAAAGAGAGGTTTTCAATAGAAGTCTGATGTAGTCCATTAGCATTTTTGATAACTCACTCTTACAGGAATTTGATAGATGGATTTAATGAAAGCAAGACTGGTAGTAGGGAGCCCTCTTAGGACACTACAATGACAGTACAAGTGAGACATCACATAATGGAATGAGTGATGTGGAATTATCAAATTCAAG